ATGAATCACGTTGCGAACTGGCGGGCGGATTGTCCCAGTCTATTCTCGCCGCGAATTCCCTAATTTTGCTTTCGAAATTCTCCGGTACGTCGGAGCCTTGTCCAGCAGCGACTCTGAGCACCACATCGTTCGCAGCGTACGATCCCAATATGTCGACGTGATCCGCTGTGGTCAAGCCTCCTCTTGGGTCCATAGCAGCGGGCATGTGCTTGACTTCGTGCGTGATCACCTTGATGCCAGCAGGATTGTACCTTTCGCGCTTCCATCCTTCCACGCACATCGCTCCAAGGGACAGCAGCGAAACCGTTCCGTCCCCGTCGCCCATTTTGCAGCCCGCTCTCACGACTGGGTTCGCCTTTTCGTCGTGGATGCTCGCGTCTATCCATCCTGTTCGGCCGGTAGGGAAGTCCAAGGGTGTTACCACTGTGCAGTCGTCGTTTGCTGCACATTGCGCATTGTCACCCTCCGACTCCGTCTCGTCACGCTGGTACGGCCCTTGCTCGTACCAGTAGCTCCTCTCCGTCGACTTCCCGACGCCGTAAAGACAATGAATCTTCATAGAGGGCGCATTTGGCAAAGGCGCTTCTAAAGGATTGCTCCAAGTCTGCTCGTGTTCCTTCTTGGCATTCTCCCGCACTACATTCGGATCGTATTCCATCCCGTTGGAGTAGTTGGCCGCCAGCATCCGTTGAAAGCTAGTGGGTGTGTGCTGCATGAGCCAAGTAATGGCGTCGCCTGCCGTCAAGTTCTGAGGCGCGGAGCTCAGTGCGGAGGGATCATGGTGGCTCGCCTCGGCTTGCTCGTGCGACGCCTTACCAGAGTCAGCTGCGCCCATCTGGTGCTCGAGCGCAGGCAGCTTGAAGCTGTAAATATTGCCGTGCGTGTCTGTCGAATTCCACTCATCATCGGCCGCAAAGCTTGCATTGCCCCATATCGCGCTACCACCCTTGATCATCATGCTGCGAATCGAGAGTGTGGCAAAGATGTTAGCTTAGCACAGGAAGGTGGCGCTTTCAAGTCGCGCTGCGCTACCAACCTGGCACTTCCAGCCCAGCTTTGGAAAAGCTTGGCGCGCTCGCTGCGACTGAAGAACTTCTCCAGCAAATAGGCGGCAGCTGGAGGCAGTTCCACTGTATCTCGCATCTCGCCGCTCAAGAGCGCAGCCATAGCTTTGGGCACACCTAGAAAAGTGCCAGCGATGGAGGTGAAAGCTTCGATGTGATCTTCCACCCAGCTCGGGCCTCCATTGCCGTAGCCTTCGCCTTCGGCCTCGACCCTATGAGCCAAGAGCGGGGTCTATCAGCACAGGTCGAAGTAAATGAAGGGGGCACAGGGCTCACCATTTGAAAAAGTGGAGAGCTACAGAGCTGCCCATCGAGTGCGCTACGAGGACCGTCTTTTTGCCTTCGATTCGCTTGTTCTGCTCTATGCGGAGCTTCACTGCACGTGCGTAGGAGGGCAGGGTTATAAGTGCTGACTTCTTCTAGCATCAAGAACGAGTCCCGACTTACTGCGCGTGAAGAATCGATCTCTGACCTCGAGATTATGGTACGATAGCCTGTACAGGGGGGGCGAGTGGTGGCATGAGAAGCCTGAATTCAGACGCCCACTACTTGAGGCCGAACTTACCGCCAGTCATATGCAGCCAACCAGAGATTATTGATGTCGTATCCAAGCACTGCCAGATTTTCAATGATCTGGCAAGAGTGGCCACAAATTGTTGGGCTCAGCGTGATAGACCATCCAGAACAAGCACCAGGACTTGCACATGCGTATGCGGCATCCTCTGATCGACTCCACATCTGGCTAGCTCGAACTCCGCTCGTTGCCCGACTCACCTTTGCCCAGATCCAGTAACCTGCAATGAAATGGCTAGCGCCGTCGAAACCTTCGCTCGCCCTGACCTTGATTCCAGGAGGGTCAAGACCAGTGTCAGGGTCTAAACTGATGTGCCTGATCCACCTCTCCTTTTCAAAAACGATGGTCCTCATCATCGTAGCGCTTCCCCACAACCTCTTTCTAAAGAATCCCGCCGAAATTTCGTCCGTCGTCCAGCTCTCCAAACCAGTGCTGATGACACCGGGCAAGAGCACGACTGGATGTTCGGCTCTCAAACCCCTGGCATACGCATTCCTACCGACCGTAAAGTCTTTGGACTTGAGCCATTCGCGAGGTGCCGAGAAGAGATTATCGCCGAGATCGGCAAATTCTCTAGGCAAGCGCATGGAAAAGAGGTCAAAGTCGAGGGATGGGAAGCTGCGAGCTTGCTCTTCCAAGATGGATCTGAAACCAGTCATGCTGGAATGTTGCGCTGCTGCCCAAGCCAGCAGAGCTCCGAGTAGGGCACCGCATACAAAGAACAGCCGTCTGTACCTCGTCAGACCCTTTGGCGCAGGCGGAGCGTCTGGCAAGGATAGCCAAGGTATATCGCTAATGTCGTGCTCGTGATAC